ACAAGTATAACATTTTCTAATCTGATATCCGAACACTGTACTAAGGCAGTAATTTAAGATTTAGAAGCTCCAGATCATTCAGTAATTAGATTTAATCCTTAAAATGTCACTTCCCAACATAATATTTCACACAATCTTTATATAATTCTGCCCAAGTCATTTGGTAAGAAGACAATTGTCGTGTGTTTTGTTATTTCCTTAGAGTCTTATTTTTCTTTTCTGTCATATTACATTTAATCAGGAACATGTCATTGCAACAGATAATGGGCAGAATTACAGCATGGAAACAAAACAGAAGTATATTTGATTTTATCATTTTTTTATGTTGCAGACGTTTGCAATTAGAAATGACAATAAGCAAGAATACATAATTAGTTTGGGACAGCATTTTTTATAGTTCTATAAAGGACTGGGTGCATGGAAGGATAGAATTAGAGTACCAGTATTGGTAGTGAGTGTCACGTGCGTGGGCTATAGGCCCAGCCGAGACAGTGGGGAGAGTGTGGAAGTGACAGGGTTAATGACACCAGACCCCTGGTTACCTGTTGCTAGTCCCAGCAACCACTCAATTAACCCCTGCAATCCCTTCTACACTATCCCCTTTAGTACTACTGCCACCACCAAGACTTTTAAACCCGGGCGTCTTAGGTTACCCCACACACAGGAGAATTATAGTATCACAGTTCTACTTTTACTGATAAAACATATATAGTTAACCCTTTTGGTAACGTGTTTACCTGAGCTTTCCTCTGGAGAGTGAAGCTCATAGAGAACAGAGACACAAGCTGATTAAGTAAACATTTAATCTGACAAAAAGGATTCACAGTGCTGAGTACAAAATACAGAAATAAATGACATACAGATAACAAATTGCAAAACAGTACATAAAATAAAATAGGAGAAAACACAAGAAATTTATTTACCCCATATAGAATTCTTGTGGGAGTCTTAGATGGTATAGGTCTCCTAGAAGTTACTGACAAAAGAAAAATGAATAACTGACTTCCCTGGATAGTCCAACACCCTCATATATCTCAACTAGTTGTTTTTCAGTGGGCAGACCCCTGGGGGGGGATCAGAGGGGGCTGGTCTGGCAGTCTATTGCCCACTCTATGAAATTCCTTGTGTCCAGCTCTGGTGATGGCTATCTAGATGTTTTATGGTCTAGGCCTGGTGCAAGATCAAAGACCACAATAAATGTCATCCCAAGGTTTACAAAAAACAACTCTTAACATATATAAACACACATCAAACACCAACTCATGCTTTTGGCATGACAGTGAGTGAGGGTAAAAATGATTAGGGGGGAAAGGATGGAGGAAACGAGGAGAGAAGACAAGTGCAATGCGAAATGGAGAGGAAATACAATGATGAGATTGGATAAGGAGGCATATTGCATGAGTTGAAGGGTTTGATTGGAGATGGAGACTTGGAGAGGAAGTGATAGAATTACATTGGAAAATGAAGTGAAACTAGAGGGAAGAGGTAAGGTTGATGAGATAAATTAGGGATTTGAAGGAACAAAGTGAAGAATCATTTGTATGAGAAATTAACCCATCTTTCTACGGTGTAGGGAGAAGAAAAAACTGGCATAGGGAGGATGGTGGGAAATTCATCTCGGGCAGGAATTGGGAAAGAAGAAATAGGTTAGATTCACCCGGCTAAAGAAAACTAAAAATTACATGTGGATGGGCTTGTCATATTTGACCTGACCCAACAGTTTATTGATCAAAAATAATTGGCCACACAAAAGAAACTGGACGGAGCTAATCTATATTTTGCTTATGGGGCTGTAATAAGGAGGTCAATGAAATGCGACGGGGTGATGAGTGGATTAATTGAGGACACAGCTTCAGAAGTGAAAGACCAGGATGACAGTGACCTTAAAGGGTTAAAGGGGCATAGGAGTCATGTGATTGGTTGAAGGATCTGTGGGGGTGTAGTTTATGGGGACATGTGGGGGTGTTGGGTAATGTAAACTGTGATGTGCGGATGATTTGGGGCCTCACAAAATCTAGAGTAAAGTGATGGAGTAAAGGTAAGTAAAACGTGGCGTAGGTGGTGGGGTGATCTAAATTGGTAGCAGGACACTATAGCATTAGGAATGCATGTTTTTATTCCAAATGCTATAGTGTTCCTGTACGTCCTGTGAGCAGAGGCCTCTTTTCTCTTTATTGTAACCTTCATATTAAAATGTAAGAGCAGAGATCCATGTTCACTATATTGTAATACGTATGTTAGAATATAAGCTATATGCAGGGACTTCCAATCCCTGTATTGTAACCTTCCTTTATTAATAGAAAATATCCTGCAATATGCAGTTACATGCATTACTTGATTCATCTGTTTATTTCAGATATCAATCAGTTGGCTTTTTATTTGCCTTCTTCTGGGGCAGTCAAATATTAATAATTAAGAGATATACTGCGTATAGTATTGTGATAATGGGGGAAAAACATAAACTATTCAAATGCAATAAAAAAAATACCATATTTTGCCAGTAACTTTGGGAAAATGGGCTTGTGATGGGTTAATATTTCTTTTTAGTACTGACATTCTTATTTTATGTTTTCCACATACAAAATGAATTTCTAAAACTTACAAAATTTGTAAAAGCTAATGTCAGCTTCAAAAGAAATGTTCTGGCAGATTTGATGGAATATGAGGCAGTTGCAGAATTTGGAGTTATTCACTCATTTCTGCTGGAATGTTGATTGAATTTTGGTTGATTACTTTCAATTTATTATGAAGTTTTTTTTATGCATGCCATTTACATGAAGTGATATTATTGGGAAAGGGTAATTTTCATGAAAATAAACAATAAATTGCTCGCCTTTTGTAAAACACATTTTTAACTTGTTCTAATACAGTTCTATACATGAAATGTTGTCATTCAGTGGTGGGAGGAAGGTTTTTGCTGCCGTTGATAAGGGACAATCATTTTTTACTTTTTTAATTTTTATTGTGCCTGTTGGCAGCTAGCCTACCACTAGGGGGGCACATTGCCCATTCATTTTCACTTGGGAGGTAAAATTATCAGAAAATACAATGCAAACCTCTAAATTCAGTGACTTCTTGGCTTGTTAGACTATTATTTTATTTAGCTTGAATATTGTTTCCTTATACACAGATCCTATTCCAGGAAAAGATGCCATCGCTTCATGCTCTGCGTTGATAAGTTATTAAGGATGTGATTACTCTCTACTCCTGGGAAAAGAGTGGGTTAATGAGAATACCATTGCTCCCTGCTCCTGCCGATGCGAGGGTTGATAAGGATGGCATTTTTCATGCTCCTAGCAACACAAGGGTTAATAAGGATGACATTGCTCCATGATTCTTGGTAGAAGAGAGTTTATATGCATTACTTTCCTCCCTGGATCTTCGAAGGGGGGTTAATAAGGATGACATTACTCTGTGCTCCTGGGAAGAAAAGGGGTTGATAAGGAGGACAATAATTCTAAATTTTTCTGGGAAAGATAGGGTTAATTATGATGACACAGCAGTCTCTAGGAAAATGCAACCAATTGCCTTCACAAGTCACATATAATCAGTTGAATGGAGTCTACCTGTATGCATACCATTAAACTGTCTCACTTTCAGTGGGACTGTCCCAGATTTTCTGTTTTTTATTGTTTGGTGCCCCACTTATGGGAACTCTGCAGACCAAGAGAGCAGAGGGCGAGCATGCCATATATGATGCACAACAAAGCGCTCTATGCATGGAAGAACTTGAGTGGGACTGGCCAGTGTGAATGCCACTCTGATATGCCCCCTTGTCATGGCATCACCAGTGACATGTACAGTGTATCTATCACATATCACCGAACACGGTGTTGTTTTTTTAATTGCGCCTGTATTCATTTTGTGTTTCTCTTTTAGACTTCACTTCCCAGTACATTTGCCCTTCATGTTAATGGAGCACTCTCAAAACCATAACCACTAAAATGCGCTGGCGCCATCCCACAGATAGCCGTCAAACTATTTACGAAAGGCTTGCCACTTACCTGCCTTTTTTAGGCGCACACAGTGCTTGTAGTCTGCATTGATATGCTATAGCAGAAGTTCATACTTCGGCATTAGCAATATCAATTTTGTGCAGCTTTGGACATTATTCTTCGTCTCAGAGTGATATGGTGCTTAAAGTATCCATTAAATATATCCATGGCATTATGCGTTACCTTCATTTACACAAATCATTTGTCTCTTACGCCATGTTAACTGGCTATATTTTACTTTCCCTGCCATATATAAACCACTATATACTCATTATCAGGGTTGTTCACTAAAGTGAGAATTTAAGGGTGAAGTGAAACTGAATTAAAAATTTAAGGCCAGAGTAGCCAAACTGGAAACATTCTCTAAGTCAACTATAATTTCAGTGTTGCTACTCTGGCTTAAGTTTGAAATTCACTTTGTATTCTTATTTTAGTGAATGACCCTGTATTTGTGTCTTGATCATGGTCCAGCAGTCGGACCAGAATGTTGATCACTCTGCTTAAATGTTTAATAAAGCAGCTCATGAGTCCTAAAAGCCCTAAACAGATATATATTGATTGTTAGACGAATCGCCAAATGGCTAAAAATAAATGTATAGCTTGCTAGTTTTGTTAAAGGGAATCTAAAGTGCCTGGAAAATGACATTTTTTTCCAGGTACTAAAGCTCATTATAGAGCCCCCCTTCATCGTGGCCTCCCCGGGGATAAAAAAAATCCTACGTCACTTACCTGATTCCAGGTTAAGCTTCCGCCTCTGCTCCACCACATGCGACATGATTTCCTGTGGGGGTTTTGGGTGACGCTGGATGTCCTCATGTATAGCGTTAGGACATCCAGATGCAGTTAGGAGAGCAAATGTCGCCTAATGACCTGGAAGTCCCTCTAGTGGCTGTCTGGTAGATGACCAATAGAGGTGGAGTTAACCCTCAAAGGTAATTATTGTAGTTAATTAAAAAAACACTGATACAGTCTATGTGCTTACAAACAATACATTTATGAACCCACCTGTTCTATGCCACATCTTGTTAGATAAGGCAGCAAGTTAATTTTGCTTATAAAAGGATATTTTTTTTGTTATGGATAGAAGCACTCATTAACTCCACTAAATACAAAAACAAAATTGAGTTGTATAAAAAATTTTTTTTTTTACATTTTCTGGTTTTAAGCATATTAATCACACCTGGAAGTGTACACATCGTAAACAGATACATATGAATATAGCTAGTGCATCAGACAATAAATATTATGAATAATGAAAATCGCACTGAAATGATGAATAACAAAGTATAATACGTAATAAAGAATGCAGTACCCATCTTAGTTGCAAAATGTATTACAAACAGTTTTGTCCAGCATTCTTAAAAATACAAATTAAAATGGCAAATTAAATAAATTAGCACATTTAAAGAAAATATTAAAACATAAAGAAGAGGTTTGTACAATACTGAGTATAACAGCAGATACCAATAATAAATGTCAAAAAACAAATCAGACAATATCAATAATTTCACAAAACTCATTATATGTCAATATCTCAGTAGGAAATCAATATAGAGTCAGCTCCCAGGGGAGCAGTCGTGAAATATTGATTCAGAATTCAAATTCAAGTCATTCATACGTCTGGAAACGGCCTGATACCTGATATCATCATGTACTAAAGAAATGTGTACTGCCGAAGTATACAAAAATAAACATCCACTATTGTAAAGTTTTTTCACGTGTGTACAAGAATGCGTATGGCACCACTTTAAAGAGCATAAAATTTAATCTATACAAATTTCTAGCAAATGTCACATTTCCTCGAATATAATTGTGCAAGTGGAAGCTGTACATCTATCTATAGGGCCCTCAACTCTTCCTATATTTGTCTGTCAAATTTTGCATTGTCTCTGATGTATTGTACGTTTACTTTATCAATAGTACCCATGTACAGTGCTGCGGAATGCGCTGGCGCTTTATACATAAATTATTATAATGATACTAATTGATTAAAGCATTGTATCTAAAAGAGCCAAAAATAATAGCGTGGGGAATAAAAACAAACACTCTTGAATTGGAGAAATCTTTTCCCCATTTTATTATTTCCGAGTTTGATTTTTTTGTTGTCAACGCATGGTTTTATGAATAAACAACATAATGAAAGGTTTGGCTCCTCCAGCATAAAAACAGTTAAATAAAATGGGCAACATTTAATGCAATTTATATATACAGTTTAAACCCGCCTAAAAACAGGATGGTGTTATTAAAATATAAGAAAGATGAAGTGTGCATTATTATAAATGTAGCTTATTTTGTTTGATTTCATAATTATGCACTAATAAACAAAACGTGAAAGGTAACTAGAGTAACAAACTGTGTCTGGAGTCTAATATATTGGGCAGTTGTTACTTCAATACCATTACTTTCAATGTAGCCAGCAGGATGAACTTGGACATTAAGTACCATAACCCTGCTGCTATGGACTATGCTGCTCTCCTAAGCAGCAGTACCCCAAAAAGATCTAGGACCTATTTAACTTTCGATGATATTGCTGTGTCCATATCCACTTGCTATGCAGTTTTCGCAGGACGTCAAGCTGTCTGTCTCCGTTGAGCAGCTACACTCAACAGGTTTGTGTGAAATGGACTCGGGAAGCAGCATGTACTCAGAATGTGATGGATCAGATTGTATCAGTGAGGAGATACATTTCCCAGAAGTCCTCAGTGACTCTTGCATTCTGGGTGTTCCTAGGAATGTGACCTCCGACTGACTGCATTCGCAAGGAGTTTCTGTCAATTTCTTTTTTTGTAGCAATCTGATTGGATAGTCCTGGCTTTCGTCACTCTCCTCAGGGACATTGCAAAGATTTAATGAAGTTGGTGAAGGACATTGGGAAGGTGGAACAGACTTCAGTGATTTGGGATCATTTTCACTGTACTGGTTGTTCTTGGAGTTTTCAATTGCTTCAATTACCTGAAAAGGCCATAATAATAAACAATTTACAAATTAAACGTAACAAGTTTTTGTTACATATTCAAAAATTTAAATTAGGTGCATGCTTTCAATTGGGTACATTCTTATCTAACTCGTTGACGTCCGATTATATTTCCAAACTATCCGTAAAACAGAGGGATTTACCTATAGGGTTTTTTTAGGGTACGTTTGAAGGAACTTTTCTGTATTTGAAGTATAGTCTCTAAACTAGCCAGGCATTTTGCAAGTTGTTTTTCAGCTCAGTGTATTGTGAATACACCACTCTGCTTCCCGGGAGAGGTGTACAGCCGTTTGATGTCAGCTGTAATTCAGACAGTGAGCAATATGCTAATGGAGTTTACTGCGATATACGTATATTCGTCACCTGAACGCTGACACATGATTGCCCATATAATTATATATTTTTCATTGTAGGTCTTTCATCAACATGATCAACCCAATATTTCTACAGACGGCAAATGATTATATATGTTAAAGTAACACTACAGTCACTATAGTTTTGGTGTATAGATCATACCCCTGCAGTGTCACTGCTCAAGTCTCTGCTATTTAGGAGAGAATTTACTATTGTTTCTGGTTATGCAGCCCAAGCCGCACCTCCACTAGCTGTGACTCACACAGCCTGCATGAAAACAAAATGATTTCAAATTCAAGCAGATGTAACATACTTTAAAAGTTTTTATCTCCTGCTCTGTAAATTTAACTTTAATTACACACAGGGTTCTCCTGCAGGGTCTAGCAAGCTATTAGCAGAGCAGGAGTTAAGGAATTTTAAATTTAACAGCATATGCAATAAAGGAAGTATAAACATTAGATGGCTCATTATAGGAAGTATTTATTCATATTCAGGCTGTGAAAGTTACATGCAAGGAGGTGTAACTAGGGCTGTATAAAAAAAGTGATTTAACTCCTAAATGGCAGAGAATTGAGCAGTGAGACTGCAGGGGCATGATCTGTACACAAAAACTGCTTCATTAAGCTAAAGTTGTTTTGGTCACTATAGTGTCCCTTTAACAAAAATCAGCACTCTAGGCCCTCTTATTGAAATAGAAAATGGTATTCTAATATGTCAATATTTCACTTTGTAACATACATTTCATCAGGAGTCTGAAATCTTGACATATGAAAATGTGGTGGAATCTCGGTAAAAATAAATTTAGTAGGCCGAGATTACCACGTGGCATGTGTACGTGCATATGCTGACGTATCGATCAGTTGGTTGCACGAGGCAAGATACGATCAGTAGTGTACGGAGCATGTGCAAGAATACAGGATGTAGTATTCCCCTCCTCCATTGTGCTGGACAAGCCATGCGGTCAAGCAGGAAGTTAATTCTTATTTGTAATGATTGGTCAAGAGAATGTGCGGGTGGAGCTTAATATGGGAGGAGTTATGTGCCTATATAGGGAGCCTGCACTATTGTTCAGGGCTCAGAACTTGCTGTATTTTTGGTGACATTAGTCCCTCTGAGTCCCGATCGGTGATCCAATAAAGAATCTCTTCCTTCCTGAAGAAACCTGTGTCCATCTCTCTGTGCTTTGCTTCCGTCAGTTTCTCCGGTATCATTTGGTGCATTGGCCGGGAAGCTCATCGTTCAACGGTAGCTGAGAGGCAGAGGCGTGAGACGGTCTATCTTTGCCCACGTTCTCTACGGCTGCACCCCTGAACTTCTGCGTGGACCTCCCTTCGTCTCGGCGCCACTGGTCTGTTGTCCAGGAGATCATCGGCCTCTACGTAAGAAGTGCTGGGGTGTCCCCGTCGATGAGTGTGAACTCAGGTTCAGGAACGAGGAGGTAAGACAACTGCTGTTTTAGACGGCAGACCCACTAGGGGTATACCGATTGTGCGGTAGGCCCAAAAGGGGTTTAAATCTGTGTATGGAATCTGCCCCCTCTGTCGGAGGGAAGGAGCGAAGGCGCACCGCTCGATCGAACGCTCTTTAGTAAGACCGTTTGATCTGGTTAGTCAGGCGGGGTCCTGTGTAAATAGCCCTAGCCGGACACCGGTGTCTTGTCTAGACTAGCGTTCTAGGGTGTATATTACGTTCGCTAGGTCGGAGGGACCGGGAGACTAAGCGGCGCCTGTGTAAATTCGGTTCGCTAGCTCTCAACCTATCTTGGCTAAGTGGGAAGGCGTGTAAATTTGGAACCCACTAGACTTTTGATAGAGTAAATAGACTAGAAGGGCAATTTTGTAAATTTCGCCCTCTAGTTCGCTATATGTGGTGTTTGGGCAGTGTGGCTAACCAAAACGGGTGTATATAGTTTTAGGTAGTCCATTCAAGGTACTGGCCAATAGTTTAGTTGGGATTGTAAATGTGTTAAAGATTGTTAGTAAAGTGTATATCTTGTTAGATAGCGCGAGCTCAGCCGTCTAGCGAGAGTGTTAATAGTGTGTTGCTGTATCATAGTGCACGGTACCATAACCCTGTATATTTACTGACACTGTATATAAGTACTAATCATTGTCGTCTATTGCATGTTTAACACCGTAACCACTAATAATTGTATTGTGACCTTAAATTGTGCTTTGACCTATGCTAACCGTACTGTAACCGATACTAGTAAAAGACGATGTTACTGGGGTGTGTTATAGACGGGTAATTCATATATAGAGAATTATAGCGTGGGTGACTGTATAGTTTCGCCAAAGGGCATAATATTGATTATTTAGTGACTGGTGTAACAGCTGTGTGTGTACGGGAATTCCCTGAGTGATTATTGTGTTATTGTGTACGTTTCACTCGGTAACTGTACCACGTGGTGCTGTTGCCAGAGGAAACGGGTGTGACTGTTGAATAAGAACGCGTGCATAGTATTCGTTGTCAACGACGTTCCATTGATAAGTATGGGCGCGTCAGAGTCAACGATTTCGGATCCCTTAGGTTGTATGGTAAAGAATTTTAAAAAGGGATTCAAAACATGTGATTTTGGGGTTAAAATGTCTCCTGTACGTTTGGTCACTTTGTGCACTAGGGAGTGGCCTATTTTGGTTGCGGCATGGCCGCCGCGTGGCAGTTTGGATCCAACCCTGGTACAGCGTGTACACGTGGCTGTATCAGGTAGGCCTGAACTTTACGGACAGTTTCCATACATTGATTGTTGGGGGCAGGCCGTAAACGACTCGCCAAAATGGATCCGGATATGCCACGAGGAGCAATGTCGCCTCATGGTGGCCAGGACTTGTTTGTCCACTAGGACTGGTGTTAGGCCCATTTTGGACACGCCCCCTGAGTCCGAGATCCCTTTGCCGCCTCCTTACTTTCCTTTAAGAGGAAGTGACGCGAATGCAGGAAGCTCTGCACCCCTTCCCCTATTGCCCCCATCCACTTCCGCTTCCTCCTCCAGTACAGAATCCACCCCCCCTCGTATTAAAACTCCCCTTCCGGAACCAGGACCAACCCCCATTAGATTTGAATATCCTGATTTGGCGCCACTTCAAACTTCCGGTCAAGCTTCTTCTAGCTCGGCTCGGAGTATACTATTCACTAACTTTTCCCAAAATCAAGTTCCCACATCCTCATGCCCTATTACCTCTCGACCGGAACCTTTAACTGACGCCCCTCCACGTAGCCCCATACTAACCCGACAACTGACCGGTACCCAACAATTAAAACATTATCAGATGCCTCTTCGTCTGAATCCTGGGTCAGCCTATATCGATGCCGCAGGTCAAATGGCACATGCTGACCCAGTTTTCGTATATGTCCCGTTCACGACTACCGATCTCTTGAATTGGAAGACCCACAATTCCTCGTACACTGAGAAACCACAAGCTATGACCGATCTGTTCACCTCGATAGTTCAGACACATAACCCGACATGGGCTGATTGCCAGCAGTTATTAATGACATTGTTCAATAATGAGGAAAGGACAAGGATTAACCAAGCGGCCATTAAGGCGCTAGAGGAGAGAGCCCGTGCTTTAAATCAAGCCAATCCGGCAGCATGGGCCGCAACACATTACCCTAACACCGATCCTGACTGGAATGTAAATGGCGCAGATATGGCTCAACTTAAAGCCTATAGAGATGCTATAATTGCTGGCATGAAAGCCGGAGGGAAGAAAGCTATTAACATGTCGAAGACAGTTGAGGTGATTCAGAAAAGTGATGAAGCGCCCAGTGTCTTTATGACCGATTATTGGAGGCATACCGCTTGTATACCCCCTTTAATCCGGAAGACGCTGATAATTCCCGAATGGTAAACTCCGCCTTTGTCAGCCAAGCTTACGGAGATATTAAGCGCAAGCTACAGAAATTAGAAGGGTTTGCAGGTATGTCTATCACCCAACTAATGGAGGTAGCGAACAAAGTATATATGAATAGGGAAACAGAAAGTAAGAAAGAGGAAGAGCGCAAGATGCGTAGAAAGGCAGATATGCTAGCGGTAGCGATCGCAGGCGTAGATAGACGGGGCCCAGATAGAGGCGATGGTAGATGGAATAGGGAGCCTTTGAGTAGGAATCAGTGCGCGTACTGTAAGGAAGAAGGGCATTGGAGGAACGAGTGTCCGCAAAGAGAGCAGTATGAGAGAGACTTACCCAGGGCAGGTTACGGAAACTTTAGAGGCAGAGCGAGAGGTAGAGGAGGCCCCGGAGGGAGTAATGGTAATAGAGGGAGTAATGGTAATAGAGGGAGTAATGGGAACAGAGGAAGTGTAAGGGAAGATAGGTACTATCCAGCAGCGCAAAGGTCCCGCGATAGAGAAGGTAGGGACTTTGTGGGATTGGCTGACACGGTCATGGAGGACTATTGATACCGACCGGGCTCCATCCCCCTTGGTCGAGTGGAGCCTATGGTCGATGTATCAATAGGGGGAAAAAGGAGTGCGTTCATGATCGACACTGGTGCTGAACATTCGGTGGTGACTAATCAAGTTGCTCCTCCATCTGGAAGAACTATTACTGTAATAGGAGCAACTGGAAGAAGTGCTGAAAAACCGGTTCTTAAAAGTCGACTCTGTACATTGG